CATTTCTGAGACATCATGCAATGTGTTGCAAAATGTCAGGGTAAACAAATAGCTTCAACTTCCATATCTCCAAAATCGGCACCAACGCAAACTCCGTTTCAACATTTGATACACTGGTCTAGCGCCAAAGCACTCCATCCCGTGCTAAGTATATCTTTCGAGTCTATGAATATTTCTACTCTTCTCGGGGCTTATCCAACCACGTTTGGGTTGCTTTTAGCAAGACTACCCGTAATAACTTCTTTGCTGTCGCGCAGCGCTGTTCATTTTATGCTCCCCAACTTCTTTCTCCGAATCAGTAATTAGGATAGTGGAGAAATGTTTTCAGCCTTGAGAATCTGGAGCAGCTCTTCGCAAGGTGTTAGTTCCAAGGTTTGCCACCATGGAATTCTTCCGAGATCCTTCTCAATCTCTGTCTCCAGGCTTGAAATCACCCTTGCTGCGATGTCTGCGTCCTCGGGCAGCCTTCCGCCTGCATGAACAAGTAGCCCAAGCAGCTCCACTCTATTTCCTTCCATGCCGGCGCTTTGGGTTACTCTCATGCAGGTGCTCGCCACTGCATTCAATCCGTCGAAGCCCGTAGCATTGATGTTGGCCCCTCTTTCGATCAGCAATTTTATCTTATCCAAACGCGGGCAGATGTCGGAACATTCGCGAAGTAATGCCGTCTTACCAGAGGAGTCTCTGGCTTCGATGTTGACCCCATTGTTGATTAGCACCTCGGCTGTAGATGCATCACACTTGAAGAGCGCAGTTTGGTCGTCGCGATCTTCAAGACTGACGTCTCCTCCAGAGTCTATCAGAAGCTGAGCAACTATGCTGTCGCATCCAAACAACCCAGTTCGACCATGCGCATCTACAGCCTGAACATCTGCACCACTTTCAAGAAGTAGTTTGATCTTTTCGGCAGCATTTGGAAATCTGCTGTGTCGGCAATAATGCAGCAGAGCTGCATTTTTTACCACTGCCGTCGTAGTATTCATGCCTCTGTCGAGCAATGATTTGAGAATATCCTTGTTGTAGGCCAGAGTCAAGGCCGCACTATCGTTTGGGCTTGCACCCATCCTGAGCAACAGGTCAACGATATGGAAATGCCCTTCGGCACAAGCATTCCGCAAGGCCATCTCGTTGTCCGCATTCGCACCCGCATCTAGTAAAAGCGCGGTGACATCCAGAAACCCCTGTGAGCAAGCTCTGGTCAAGGCGTCTCTGTTTTCGGCATCCGCGCCCGCGTCGAGCAGTACTTTAACAGTGTCTGCGTTGTGTTGGCAGGCCGCAGTCAGTGCTTCGGGATTGTTTGCGTCCGCACCTCTGCTGAGCAAGAACCTAACAATGCGCGAAGAGTTTCGCACGCAAGCTGCAACGAAGGCTCTTCTGTCCGCTGCACTCGCGCCACTGATGATTAGGAGTTCAACAATATCAAGACTACTTCTTCGGCAGGATACTATTAAAGCCTCGCTGTTTCTCGCATCTGCGCCCCTCTCGAGGAGGAGGTTGACAGAGTTGATGCTGTTGCTTTGGCAGGCCGCAGGTAAGGCTTCAAAGTTATTTGCATCGGCACCGCTGTCGAGCAACAGTTCCATGATGTCTACATTTCCGCTCTTGCAGGATATTAATAACGCCTGTTTGTTGTTCGCTTTTGCGCCCCTCTCGAGTAATAGTTTGACGCCGTTGAGGTTGTTGCTTCGACAGGCTGCAGGCAAGAGTTTGGTGTTGTTTACGTCGGCACCGCTATCAAGCAAGAGCTTCAGATAATCTGTATCATCTCTTTCGCAGGATACCAGTAAAGCCTTGGCATTGTTCGCATTTGCACCTCTTTCGAGTAAGATTTTAACACAGGTTAGGCGTTTCTTCAAGCAGGCTGTGGTCAAGGCGTTGCTGCAGTTTACATCAGCGCCGTAATCGAGCAAGAGTGTGAGTATGCCCAAGTGTCCGCATTCACAAGCTGCAACCAAATTTGCGTCGCTTTTGGCATTTGCACCCCTTTGAAGCATCAGTTCTATGATGTCGTACTGATGATGGTAGATGGCGCTGGATAGAACAGTCGTGCCCTGAGAACCCTGAAAATCTTTCACGTCTGCACCATGTAGGATCAAGAGCCTGGCAATATCATAAGAATGGTAATGCAGGGCTCTTGATAGTGGACTCTTCTCGCCGGGTCCCTGAATGCCATTGACTTCTGCTCCTTTTTCAAGCAAGAGCTTGACTATGTCAGAACGCTGATCGCCGATGGCACTGAAAAGTGCTGTGGCTCCGCGAGGCCCTTGACCACCATTCACGTTCGCACCTTTTTCAATCAAGAGGCTTGCAATCCCCGGGTACCCAAGGTCCAATGCGCTGAATAGAGGAGTTTGACCTTGTAACCCCTGGATACCATGAATGTTCGTCCCTCCTTCAATCAGCATTGTCGCAATATCGGTGTATCCATTTAGCAACGCACTGACTAAGGCAGACTTTTGCTTTGGCAGTACCCGATGCTCTTGAACCTCGTTGATACCCACACCTTTCTGAATGAGATGTATTGCAGTGGTCCTGTCTCCTGTTTCTATTGCATGGACCAGAGCCAGTTGATGCTGGGTCGTTGAAAAATGATCGATCTCAAGGGTCTTTTCGATAAGTAGCTTTGCAATAGCTCTATGCTGGTACCTCACGGCTAATATCAATGCACTCTCTAATTGATATCCGTGTATGGGTTTGTTTCGCAAGCCAGTGACGATCAATTGTCTAACTTTGACCGTATCTCCACGATGGCAAGAGACATAGAGCTGGCATTCATGATTGGTATTTGCACTGGAGGTTGATGTACCTTGAGTGATGAGAAAATGGATCATTCGGTCGTGACGAGCAACTTGCAATGGCGCCTTCCCAAAACCGCTTCCGGCATTGAGAAGCGCGCCATTGTCAAGTAAGAGCTTAGCAAGATCCATGTTACTAGCCCTTGCGACTATGCTCAGTGGAGTTTGGCCTTTTTCATCTTGAGGGTCGACATAAGCTCCGTTGCCAAGCAAAATCTTCGCGATATTGAGGCGATCGAAATCTGCTGCTTCGTGTAAAGGGGTTCGGCCGCCCTTTCCTGAAGCATTGATGTCCACTCCCTTCTTTAGTAACAGCAAGACCGCAGACGGCTGATTCGCAATAACCGCAGTGATTAGTGGTGTCCTCCGATTTGAATCCTCTCGACCAATCTCGGCGCCGTGATCAAGTAGCACTTCCATAACATTGGTGTTTGCACTCCGAGATACCGCATGTAACAACTCATGCTGTGAAGGGTGAGACAGATCTGCGCCAGACTGGAACAAGAGTTTGGCGAAGTTTGCTTTGCCTTCCATCACAGCATATACCATTGGGGTATTCTCCGAGGAGTCTGGAGTATCGACCGGAACTTGATGTCGCAAAAACAGATCGATAGCGTTGTCGATGCCGTGATACGCTGCCCAGCCAACTCCTGATATCGGAGTTTTGAGTGAAGATTCCGACTGAGGGATGAAAGATGAAAAACTTTCAAAAAGCCCGTCTTGACGTAAGAGAAACCTTTCCACATCCTTGCAGAGAAAGCGTCCTCGAGCTGCGTGGTAGCCCCATCCGTATGATGCGTAAGAAAATAAGAAGAATGGACGTCTGGGTTTGCCCGTGGAGACATGAAGACTGTTGACTTTTCCGTAGACAAAACAGATATATTTGACACAGATGCTTGAGATCATGATGTGGTTGTCTGGAAAGTATTTCTCTCTCGTCCTCTCGAAGTATTCTTGGGTCGTATAATGAACGAGACGGATAACGTTGCTGGTGTCCTCGACGGTTACAAGCCCCGCACAGACTGAAACCATGACTTTAACGTCGCGAAAATTGTCATGATCAAGATCTTCATGGTCCTTCGCTACAGCGAGAGCATCTTGGAGCTCCTCAGCCGTAAGAGGGCGTGTGGCATGCGTGATCCATGAGATTACTCGTGTACCAAGGTCTCGGCGATTTTGTGTTTGACTTCGGATCCTTTCCATGGCTTCTTCATAAGCCTGGTCGTATACATGTGACAGTTGTTGCTTGTTTCCAACATTATCAAAGCTTTTGCGTTTGAATCTATCAAGAGCTGATAAGATTTCTCTGGTGCATGTAGTGTCTTTCAGAGACTCTAGGTAGAGCTGTGCAAGAAGGAACCTTGCTTGACATTAGAAAACTTCTCTTCATGAAGTGGGAAAACTCACATCCCGTCGACAGCTGTCGCTATTTCATTCGTGATTCTGTCCTCAAGAATGTCTGTGATGCACACCGGAATTTGAAACAGCCGATGACGAACATAACGGTGGATATCTTCACTCGCAGCTCTAATCTCGCAGATGAGAGCATCATGAAATCTCCCTTCTATCTCAGGAACGGGTCTTGACGTAAAAAATAATTTGAGCGTCGCCGGAGTCTTTTTCTGAAGGTCGACTAAGATAGATAGGAGAGCAAAGCGACTCTCGGCATCGCACTCATCGAGTGCATCAACAAGAACGAATACTGTCGAAAAGGATCCCAAAATAGAGGAGAAAACATCTGAAAGGTCGAGAGCCGAAGGTATTGTCCCACTGCGTTTGTTGTCCTGGTACAGCTTGGTAACACTGTCGGGGATCTGCGCCAGAGCTCGAGCGGTTTGCTTGATCAAGCTTGACAAAAAGTGCTCAACAGTTTGAACCTCCTTCCTTCGGAAATTACAGTATACATAAGCGGTCACGGTCATTTCGCTTGGTACGAAACGTCTTGTGATGTCGTCGACAACAGCTGACATGAGTATCGTCTTCCCTGCACCGGGAATCCCAGGACAAAATAGGGTTCGATGATTCGACTTCGGCTTCGAGTTGAGCCACGTGCGGTACGTTTCCGATTTGAGAAACCACTCCCCAGTTCCAGACTGTTTTCTTCTGAGAAAGTCACTTTGCTGAAGTCCATATTCGACGGGAGTCAGCCATTGAAGCACTGTCTCATCTTCGCCTCGTTTTGCTTGAACGCCCAGTTTTGTTATTTCACTTTTGGAAGCCAACGTAGTGGACTGAACTGTTTCCATCGTCAGTTTCTTGATGAAGTGAGGATATCTCAGGAGATATAAACTAACTGTCTGCCAAGTTCTCTTGCAAACTCCGAGCAATCTTTTCCAGCACCGTTCTCTCACTTTCAACTTCCACTGGTTGCACGTTCTCCAGTAGCTCCTTCGTTAATGCAGCGGCAACAGCAGCGGCGTGCTCCTGCCACATGTTGTTTTTGTGAGAGTCTGCGTAATCGGAAATGCCGCGGATAACAAGGCATGGGAAATCGTCTATCAGACCAGCCGCTTCCATTTCTATACATAGAGCGTTACCGTTGAGGTTCTTGTTGATCTGATCCCGGTATGTAGCATCCTTGATTACTTGGTTTCCAGAGGCAATAAGACCGTAGTGGACGACGGATCCTGCGATCTCTCTTTTCCTTGCTTTCGAGGGGTCACAGTACAAACAGTCAACGCCACTCTGTAGCGACTCCTGGTTTTCCCCGGCACCTATGGTCAGTCTGGGGTTCGGGTGATCAATATGGTTGTAGTTCGCAGAAAACAAAAAGTCCTTGAGCTTATCGGATCTCGCGTATTTTGCTTTCAACCTTGGCCATTTATTGAACATCGTGTCGAGGTTTTCTTGAATCTTTGATCCCTCCATCTCATGGTTGCTTTCCATCTTAGAGATGGCAGTGAGGAGAAACGTTGGTGGCTTGTTTAGTGAGCCAGTCCTTTCGAATTTTCCGTCATTCGTCTTCCCGAAGTCCCACTGGACGACGCCGGGATACTGTCCTGTCGGGGTACTGACAACAACATCGCCGAGTCTGACATCGTTTCGTTCAGACGGAACGCCACCTCCAATGCCAACCATCAGGACGAACTTAATGTTCCGAAACGTGGAAGTCATGCTTGTTGCAACCTTTGAGGCTCTAACAATGCCTAGCTGACCTTTTGGAAGGCATGCTATGACGATGTTATGGCTGCCAACTGAGCCTAGGATGTACGTGTTGGTGTCGTTGGTCGCCTTGCGAATATGAACATCCCGGAATTCTTCATCCAGAATCGCTCTCGCTGCCGTCTGCTCTTTTGGAAGCGCACAAACCCACCCTATGGTGTATCGGTCAAGGTCATCCTTGTTGTCAAATTTTGTTCTTTTGCCCTGCTCTTTGGCGGCTTCGTCGTCATTGTGTCGTCGTTTCTTGTTGGAGCGCTGCTCTTCCATACTGCTTTCCAGCCAGACAGGCTCTTAAAGCGATAGAGAAATCAGCGAAACCAAAACTTTACAGTTGCCAACGTGGGGTTGGTGAACGAGTAAGAGGAAGCCACAAATTTCTTGGGCGACGAGCTTAAGACCTGCAAAACAAAACAGAACTCGACTTTATGTCTTTGCAAGTTCATCTTGCAGCCTGATTTTCTGCGAAACGAGGGGTCAGAAGCAGGCTGATGTGGCTGTGAGAGAAGCCTGCTGAGTGACTGCAGATCGATTGGTGTCTGCAGGGTCACTATGCACATGTGGGTGTATTTGTCCCTTGGTGGAGGGACAACCCAGCCTGATCATGCAACTCATTTGAACTTGACGAGGCCTCTGGGATTATTGCGCTAGAAGCTTACTTGAGCTTTTCAGCACAGGACGATGGGTTCCATATCTGTTGCACCAGAAGTGACCTCTCCTTGCATGACTCCATGCACATAGCACTCCCCAACGACCTCCCATCGGTCCTCCAAAGCCCTGAGAACAATCGGTGTACTACAGCCTCGCAAAACCGCAATCTTATCCTCAGCTCTGGCCGCGGCAGGTACAAGCCCAATTCTCCCCGCGGTGGTTCCAATGAGCCTTCTCCAGGCTGTCACGTTCATCGCCCAAGACAACACCTCACGCTGCTCCTCCGTCGGATTGTAGATCCTCTCAGTGCTCTTGATCTTCTGCCGCCAACCAGACCGAACGACACCAGAGATGAGTTGTTCCAGTGTGTGGCCGCCTAAGACAAGCTTCTTATTACGAGACATGAGCTCGTCTAGACCGAAGCCGTTCGTGAAGACGCCTGCGACACCTTGGTTCCAAATCTTGGGGTCAAGCAACCAGGCTCCCGCTTCTGAGGCTTGGCTGCCACCATCTACTGTTGTGTCACCAAGGAGAGTACGCCACAGGGCGTTCCTGGTGTCTTCGAGTCCGCCATAAGCACTGTTTGTGGTCGGAATGGCATTCTGGGGGTAAGTGTCATCGACCTCTGCGGGATGAAACGAGCCTAGGCTGCCAATAGTGTCGAAGATGACCCCCTGAACTGTGAGGCTGTGGTCATCAGGCGAAACGATTGGAGGTGAGAGTCCTCCCACACCACCTGCACAATAAGGACCTCGCAGCTGGGCTGTGGGCGCTGGCTTGCAGGTCCAGCAGACTGCCCATGTAGGGAGCTCGTGGTGGCAAGTCTTGCCAATGAAATCCTGCTTGTCTGATCTCGAGAAGGAGTTCAACACAGGTCCAACGACGGGCGTCAGCTTTCGATAGCTTAAGGCGGAGGGAACGTCTTCCAGATTCCACTGCGCTCGAATGCGGCCTCCGTCTTTCGATACGAATCGGAGTATTTCCAAGTTGCCTTTTGACAGAAGCTGCGCCGTAAAGTCGCGATATATCGTCTCCATGGAAAGCTTGTAGTTGGGGGTGATGTCGACCCTGTCTGCAATCGCCCTGATACCCAAGATCCCATACACTCTGTCTTTCTCTTCTGTGATCTTTGCGTCTCTAGCCAAGACGAGGGGTTGTAGGACTTCAAAGGGGTGCCTTCTGTCTTCCTCAGGTGCAATCTCCTTCTGATTCTCCTGGACCTTGGTCATGTCCATTAGAAGATTCCACATTCTCTCCGATGACCAGTCTCTCTCTTGCACAACTCTGTCTCTCGCGAACTCGAATGACCAAGAATCTAAGATCCTGGGCCGGGTGCTGCCCACAAGCTCACGCCCGAACCTCGTCTCATCGTTGCTGATGAACGTTGCGGCTTCGTGCATGTCCCTCCACGGCAAGCAACTCTTGCCACAGACAACTGGTGCATCGGGACGGGCCATGGCCACCTCTTGCAAGATCCACATCCTTTGCCAGTAAGGCCTGGAAAGTAGCGAAAACAACGCTTTGTAGACTGTCTTCTTCAAAGGGCTTTTGAATGTTCCCCAGATAATGAACAGCGGACGGGCATCGATCTTTGTGCTTTCGCGGTAGAAACCATCGTACGGGGAGGGAGTTCTGTTCCTAGCAGCAATCCAGCTCAAAACAGACACTCCCAGTTCGCTGTCATCAGCTTCTGGGCCTAGCCAGATCACAACCTGCCACGCCGCCGCATAGATGTCCCGCATGCGGCCGACCTGCGCGCTTCTCTCTGCGATGTCTTCTTGGTTGATACAGATGGCGTCGATCCACAGTTTGAAACCTTGGCGGATTCTCTCGTTTGGACGGAGGTGCAGAAGAGCCTGGAATAGGTTTGGTCCGACGGGAAACTGATGGCCATTGAGGAAGATGTACTGAATTGGAGTTGGCGGGCCCCAAACGTAAGAAAGTGCGAGAAAGTCGCCCCAGTCGTGCCTCCATGGTATGTCGTTGTCGTTACCCTTCCAGTCCGGCGATTGTTCTTCGGGGCTTTTGGTGGCATCACCGATTTGTATCAGGGCTTTCGCGTCTTCGGGGTCTTTGAAGATTGCAGCTACATCGCGAGCCGACTCGGTCTCTGGCCAGACGTGATTCTGACCCTTGAAGCCTGAAGGCCGCGCTGCAGCTTTTAGACCGACATGCTCGAGAGTGCATCGGATGGGAGCTGAGAAGTCTTCGCTATCCTCCAGAGGCTCGATCGTGAGCAGACGAATGTCTGCGCCCTGCAGCGGATGGTACTCGTACGGCATCTCTAATTGTTCTTGCTGATGTTCGCTCTCGCAAGATGCGCTGCGCGAAGGAAGCAGTCATGCTTAAGTATCAGCTGAAGAGCCAGCCATTAGCGGATCACACCTCATCAAGGCAGCAGGCTAATTACCGAAGTTCCTTCCATCGCTGAATCGGCGCTTCTCGCGGTCTCGGGCGGAAAAAAGCTTCGTAGCGGATGAATCCTTATGTAAAACTACCAAGCCACCGACATGACTTCCAATGTTGAAAGTCTTCACTTACACAGGTTGTTCTGCAGTTAGAATAGAGGACCGTCTCTTCTGTTCCCGCCTTTGCCCTAGTTGCTGTCTCTGTTGCTGATCATCCACCCTTTTCTTCCATTACATATTATATGAAGCACCCGTAATATGAAACACAAAGCCAAGTGTAGACCGACAGTCCACAGAAGATATCTAAGGTGCCATGGGAACAACAAGAGCCGGGTTTTATTGTAAGAGTATGTAATTGGCGTCGGGTTGAGTAGGTAGATTAGTTGCATAAAGCCTTCAGCGCCTTTAGCGTTCGCTGTTGCTATCAGTGTAGAAGCCACAGCGCCCATGGTGCCGGCGTTAGTGGATTGGTACCCACAGTTCGCCGGAGGTAAATAGTCTTTCCGAGAAAAAGTCTGGCTATGTCTCGTACATCTAGTATTAATTCTCTTCTAGAAGAACCTAATTCACTCATGTAGGCTGGTATAAGAGAATTTGACACGATTATGTGCAGTAGCTTGAACTTGTTCTTGTTCGGGGAGCCGCAACGGACTGGAGCGGAGACATCGCCGAGACCACGCCGGTGCCGGTCCCCACACCACCTCCGACACCCGGCATCTGGAGGCTGTCCCAATGTCCAGGACTAGGTTATGCCTGGTGATGATTGTATCAAAACCATCGATTTCATTTGAAAAAAAAAACGGTTAGTGCTGTCACCCTAGTATCAATCAGCCGGTTGTGGATCAGCAACCTCAGTGCGCAAGTCGTCACCACGAACCGCCTGTTTGGGATCATCTTTGTAGTCATTGCAAAAGCGCTCTAAGAGCGCACTCCATTTCAGAGTCTGAAGAAGAATATCGTGAGGCACTCGGGGTGCGCGGCCGCGGCCGTCATTCAGAAACCAAACGCCCAAAACTCCCACTGTCAAGAGGTATCCATCGCCCATCGGAAATCGCAATCAAAAAGGCCGCGTACCACATCCCCCAAAAGGAACCCCGAGCGCCGAATCCTGACCCAACACGCCTAGAGATGTCGAGAGCTCCAGCACCTGTCGTGGTTCTAAAATATTTTTGTATGATCGAATCGACATTTTAAGAGCGCATGCACATCATGATGCAATCAAGGCAGCTGGAGCAGCATTGGGCCTGCAACAACGTCCGATTAGCGAACTCGCTCGTCCAGGTCTCCACGATCATCAAAGAGGGTCTCGACTTACACAGGTCCAGGTCTTCTTGTCTTCGTTATCCTTCTCCTCCTTCGTGAGCTCGTTGGGGTTCTGTTGCGGCTGGTTCGGCTGCATGGTCTGCGCAATTGGCTGAGGCTGTTCTTGGACCACCATTTTGACGGGAGGGTGTGATTACGATTGTCGCAAAGTGTGAGGAGGATGGCCGTTCGCGATCTGCGGAAGTGGACGGATCGACTGGGAAAGGTCGAAGGATTGACAGTCAATCACTGGGGAAGATGTTTCTCGAGAAAAAGTCACGAAAAACGCAGTGCATCCAAAAAGATCCTTCTTCAAATAAATCCAGGGGCAATGGAAATACCTCCTCAATTATATCGCAAACACACCACTTACAAAAACCAACAATCTCACCCCCTCGAGGCAGTGCAAACAAGACGCATCCGCCAAGGATCTTGTCCAATCCACATAATTTAACACAAAAAAGTCTCCCCCTTCCCCTCCTCTCAATGGGCAATGGGCCCAGAATACGCGGACAGTGCTTGGTAAGACGGTAAGAAGGAACGAAAAAGGTACAGCAGGCTTCGTGTCTTGGCTAAAGGGTTGCATGGACTGCGGATTTTTATCTCCGTACAAATCTGCCAAGCGACGAACCAGACGGCGACAATTAAACCAGGGGAAAGCATTTCGCGATGCTGATCGACGCGTCGCCCTCCACCACCCCTGGGCCGAAGCCGTCCGTTATCCCCGGCGTCGTGAAACGGAAACGATGAAACAACCATCATCCCGGCCGCCGTGCCCCAAATCTCTCACTCTCACGTCCTGCTTGGCTTGCGTCTTCCCATGCTGCACTGCATTTTTCGCTTCCTCGGCATCCAATCTCCCATGCTGGCAGGCCGCAGGTCGCACTTCTCCCATGCCATGATTTGCAG